CGCAGGAAAAGGAGAGGATATTGATTGCTTCCTAACTATCCAGCTCAACATCGATACATTTGTAGCCTCGATTCCAAGTGATATACAAACTATCAAAGAGGGCCCAGAGTTTTGCATGAAGGACACAGCATCGACCAATGCTGCGGTAATAGATTGATAACCAAACGCCTTCAGAATTACGGAATATTCCGCCACTTGTCGCTTCCATCATGGACTGGTTGACAGCTCCATCTGTTCGTAATACGGAAAACACTATCCCACGTTGAGTGGGAAATACCATTTGGCTTGGGTATTTACAGTGTTCATTCTTCTATCCTTTGTTGAGTGATAGAGAACAAAAGAAAATCTCGTGCGTTGCCGCCGCCTGTCTTGTGCTCGTAGCTCGTGGTAACATGTGTTGTGCGGATGCTATTTTTTTAGAGAAAATTCGTAAGGATTTTTCTCAAGCATAAAAGATGAAAAAAGACTTGTAAAAGAATTTTTGTCTGATATTTATAGGTTTTTGTATGATTTAATTTTCAGAGGGTAACAACTAATTAATCAGTTGTCGTTTTGATTTCTGAAAATTAAAATTTTAAATTGTCAGTTTCTAAATTCATGTCTATGAAACGTTAAATGAATCTAGGCAATTTTACAGCTCTGTTCAGAATGTTTATTGTGCCAGTTATAGAGTAATTATAAGAGTTACAGAGTTAATTACCTATAGTAACAAACATCTGAGTATTAAAGCACGAACCTAGACTGAATTGAGGTTAAATTTATATGTTTATTTTAACAGTTTCAAACATGATTTAATTCAGAAATTAATTAGATTTTATATATGATTCACATTGGACAATTTTACCCATGAAGTTTAGCCTATAAATAGAGAGCTTCATTTCACTCTTAACACACACTCAACACTCTCATATCCTCTCATCTAAAGATATTTCGAGTTGTTCTCTTTGCTAAACAATACCACCGGTAGTGCACTCCAGTTTTGGGTGTACGAAATTTGGAGTGACCGTGTTAACCTCAGGGGACAATCCCCCTAAAGCAGCGATTACACATATCGGGGAGAATTTGTTTCTAAGGTAGTGGTTTTCACCACGACATAGTTTCGATTTTTCATTTTTCAATATTTTTATATTGTCCAATCAATTGCTAACATCTCATTTTCAATCTATATTTCCAACAATTTAGAAACAAACTTCATTTATGCAAAATGTCAACACCACTGAGCAAGTTTATCCTTGATCTTTCCAAACTCGATTCCTTAGATAGTTCAAATTACTGAAAGTGGCGGATTCTGATTTTCTACAAGCAGTTTGATCTTAACTACGTGCTGCTGAAGCCACCACCAACTACTCCAGTGACTACCCCAACTACAACTGATGCTACTGGTGATGAAACCACACCTGATGTTGTCTCTACTTTCGCTGCTACTACTACTGTCGTCACTGCCACCAAAAAGTAAGAGAAAGATAACAAGACGGTGCAAGGCCATCTCTTAAGTCACATGTCTAACAAGTTGTCTGACATGTTCCTAAAAGAAATGAGCACCAAGATGATTTGGGAAATGTTGGAGAAGAAGTATGGAGTTGACGATGCAGACATCAAGAAGTACGTTGTTGGTGAGTGGATGAGATTTCATATGGCCGACGACAAGTCGATCATGGATCAAGTCCATGATTACAAGAAGCTGGTTTCCGACATCATTATTGAGGGAATGCAGATGTGTGAAGTTCTGCAAGACAACGTTCTAATCAAGAAGTTGCCCAAGTCTGGGTCAGATTACCGCAACTCCTTTAAACATAAAAAAGATGAATATTTCACTTGAGGAGCTCGTGGGCCATATGAAGATAGAGGAGGCTAACCGGTTAAAGGATAAGGTTACTAACTCTATTGGTCAATTATCTTTTAAAGATAACTTGGTTGAGTCTGGTACTGGCTCAGGGCCTAAGTTCAAAAAGACCACAAACTTTAAATAGGAAATCAAAACAAGATGACAAAACCTTGAAAGAATGCCAACTTCAAGAAACCAGGGAAGCCCAAAGCTGAAGGGAAATCCTTCAAGTGTTATGTCTGTGGACTAGTCAACCACAAAGCCTACCAGTGTCAACACCATTCCGACCGTCAGAATGTGAGCAAACCACAGTTGAACGTTGCGGAGAATAATATTGATGATGTCATTTCTACGGTGGTTTCGGGAGTAAATTTTTTGGAGAACAATACTAAGTGGGTTGTGGACACTGGCACTTTCATGCATTTCTATGCAATGAGGGAATTTTTCATCGAGTTCGAGGATGAGGCCAAAGGTGAACATTGTACATAGGAAACTCCAACAACTCTGAAGTGCGGAAAAGACAAGGTTTTACTCAAAATGACTTCTGATAAAACTTTAGCCATGAATAATGTCTTGTATGTACCTTTCATGCGTAGAAATTTAATGAGTGATGGACTTTTAAATAAAGAAAGCATTAAGTTAGTTTTTGAGGCAAATAAACTTGTACTTTCCCAAAACAATGATAATGTTGGGAAAAGTTTTCTAAATGGGGGTTTATTTGTCATAGAAACTCAACTTAATGAAAATATAGTTACTTCTACTTACACTGTTGAGACTATTGATATGTGGCATGCTAGACTAGGTCATGTGAATATTCAATCTTTAAAGAAACTGATGAAAATGAATATTCTTCCTAAACTATACATAACTAGCTTTAACAAATGTAAAATTTGTGTAGAAGCCAAGCATCATAAACCTCACTTTAAGATTGTTTCTGAGCGAAAGACTGAACTATTAGAGCTTATACATATTGATCTAGCAGACTTTAGAATCTCTGAAAGTAAAGGAGGAAAACACTACTATATTACTTTTGTATATGACTTTTCAAGATACAAAAAGTATATCTCCTAAGAACTAAATATGAGGTTGAAAACTTCTTTCTAATTTATAAGGCATAAGTCGAGAATTGGTTTGATAGGAGAATAAAACAAGTTAGATTCGATAGAGGTGGTGAATATGGATCAAATTTCTTAAAAGGGTTAGAATATAATGATATAGCCGAGAGGAAAAATAAACTTTAAAAGAGATGATTAATTCATTGTTAATAAGTTCTGGACTAGCTGACAACATGTAGGGGAAGCCATTCTATTTGTGAATTGTGGAAAGGCTACGCTCCAAATCTACAATACTTGAAATGTGGGGCGTCTAGCTAAAGTCGGCTTGCCAAACTTTAAGATGTCCACCATGAGACCGAAAACCGTTGACGTAGTGTTTATTGGGTATGCTACAAACAATGTCGCATACAAGTTCATGTGTTTACAAGACTTCTCTATTTGTGAATGTTGTTTTCTTTGAAGATATATTTCCACTAAAGAAACCTAGATTAAATGAGGAAACATAAATAGAAAAATTATCATCCACTTCTTCTAGTGTTCCTACTAGGTCTTCTCAATAGACTAATTTCGAGCCTAGAAGAAGTAAAATAAAAAGAATTAAAACCACTTTTGGACCAGATTTCATAACTTCCTTTATTACTAAGATAAATAATTTAAACACCCTTTTTTATCCTATAGCTCAAATGTTTTTGTTAGATGAAAATCCTAAGACATATAAAGAATCTATACGGTTAATTGATGCTAGTTTCTGGAAAAACGCTATTAATGATGAACTAGAATCAATAATGTCTAATCATACTAGGAATTGGTTAACTTGCTAGGGATTTAAATCGATCATCAATAAATGGGTCTTCCAAAAGAAACTCAGACCAGATGGTTCGATCCATTGGTACAAAACAAGGCTAGTCGTCAAAGGGTTCACTCAAAAAACTCTCTCGTGACAAAAATCTCAATAATCCGAGCATTATTTAAGCTAGCCTCCATTCACAAGTTGCAGTCTATATTTCCAACACCATCTGTGTTGAGCTTGACCACCCCTGGATTGGGAGGTCTCCAAATTTGATTCCTAGGTGTGTCATTTGCTTTGGTGGCGATGGAAGAGGTTTTAGCCCGGATGGATTGGGCCCAAGAGCGTGCAGGCTGGATGATGGATGGGGTAGACCAAACCTTGCCCTTGAAAATAAAATTGCATCTTTGCTTATAGAGTCTCCAGATCAGAATTCCAAAGAAATGCATTCAGTAATATGCAGTCTCCACCATACCTGTAGAAAAATTGAGATTTGATTTTAACCTATTGAAAAGATTAAGATTGAAGAAACTCCCTGTTAATTACGGTGGAGTGATAAGAGTCCAGATCATGACCCACTCAACCATTTTGACAAGGGAAATTCCCATAACTTAATTACCAACTCTCCATAACAAGACACATATGTAAGAGGACTCATATCAAGTTCCTTGGTTGTATAACTTTTGTGGATTGTTTGATACCTTATTTGATTCTTTTTAAGAGTATAGAGACCAAATTGATCCATTTAATAGTAGAGAGATTACTTTGAACATTTTCAATAATAGATAGACTAAATTGATCCGTTTAATAATAGATAGGCTAAATTGATATAATACTTATAAGGGATTGATTTGAAAATTTTCAATAATAGATAGACTAAATTGATCCATTTAATAGAGCAAAAATAATGTTATCAATCATGTTTACTCCAATTACAATATTTTCTTACATTCTACATAGAAGTTTTGCCATTTATGACATATTTTCTTATTAACCAGATCTCATCTCCGTTCATGTATGTCAAATTGCAAATCTCAACCATGTAACCATCAGGATCATGGAAGAAAAATTGCATAATTTCAATATTAAAAGAGATCTAAATTATTATTTTTACCCTATATATGATTGCTGAATATATTGTTAGGTATATATATATAGAAAGTTCAAAACTTGTTTGTAATTTTTATTGTATTTTTCTATAAAAGAAGATATAACAAATTAAGAGAGAATTTACATTGAATGCAGATGCACATGTTCATAGGATTTTACATTGCTATTAGACTATATAAAGAGGAATTTATAGATGTTTTAGAGCACACTTGATTACTTTTAATTCTGATTTCTAAACCCTAAACGAAGAAACATATCGAGATGGTTAGGTTTTCATGTGTTCCCTTTGCCTTCTTCCTCGTCCTTGTTGTTTCCACTTTCACCATTCAAACAGTAAATGTACTGCATCTATTTATCATCCCTTCCTTCTCATTGAATGTTGATTTATTATAAACTATGAATTGCATCTCTCTCTAATTCTACATGTTTCATGTCCACAGGCTGGTGGGGAAGGATCACTTCGCCTCCAAGGTAAAATGCATTATTATTCAAATTTCTATTTTCTATTTACCTTGTCATGTTCGATCGTAATAATCCGATTCACTGAAAGTTTGATTATAAGTAGAGATGTCCATTGATTGATTCAAGCCGAATTTCTAATCCATTATTTTGTTGGATATGCAGATTGCCCGAACGCCTGTAACGTTCGGTGTTCGAAGACACAATATAAGAGTGCGTGTTTGGAATTCTGTAACTACTGTTGTAAGAGGTGTTTGTGTGTTCCTTCGGGTTTTTATGGCCACACTGGAGAATGTCCATGCTACGACAACATCAAGACTAAGGAAGGCAAACATAAATGTCCTTGATTTTGTTAATTACAGATTAATACCAATTAAAGATGCTAGAATAAATTGAGATGTTGAAAACTTTCGTCTTGAAATAATATGTTTTGTTGATGATCAAAATAAAAAGATAAACGTTGGTGATGCTTTTATTTTTTTAAAGCGTTTATATTATGCTATATATGAGCTCAATGGCATGCAGCTCGATGGTGTGCTCATTTCATTTCTTGATGCGATTCCTTGTGGAGTAAGGTTGCCTTAGATGATGAGAGGATAATCTTATTAAGAGTATAGGGACCAAATTGATCCATTTAATAGTAGAGAGATTAATTTGAACATTTTCAATAATATATAGACTAAATTGATATAATAGATATAATAGAGGGACTTGTCAGCTATTTTCATCGAAATTTTGGACTCAAGGACAAGGAACCTGGTTTCAGTCTCCAGGATCAGTGATTAAGTGCAGTCAAATGAACTTGTGAGCATGGCATTGGCAACGGTGGTTGAAGCCAAGCAAATAAATCATGTTCTCGAAGAACATTATTATCAGAATACATACTCAAGTTCATGAAAAACAACCAATGCCGGACAAAATCATCACCATCAGCGAAAATAATGTTCTCAACCATGTTTACTCGAAATATTTTTTTACATTCTACACAGCAGTGGCATATATGTCATATTTTCTCAGCAATCAGATCTCATCTCTGTTCATGCATGTCAAATTGATACGTCCAACAAGTCCATCACCAAATTTTTCATCATAATTACTGCTAGTCCGGAACGAGATGTCTTTCTGCTTTGCTTCCCGGAATTTCTCAGTCCATGGTTGCAGCCAGCTTCTCTAGGCATTTATATGAATAAAACTACAGTTACAGTGGATGAATGCATAAAAGAACCTACCATACAACAAAGAAACTGCATCGTAGACTTAGGTACCTTGAGAAGGCAAGAGTAGAGTGGAAGGACGGGAAGGTTTTGGCAGTTGCAATCTCAACCATGTAACCATCAGGAACGTCGAATTATGTAGCCATGTAACTATGGCCGCCCTGTACTTGATTTTCATCTCTTTGAAGTTCTGCATCACCGGCTTCATGTCGGAGCATTGGATTTTGGAATGAAATATTGTTGTCTTTTGGAATGATTTTTTCTTTCTTTGCTGCCAGAACACTTTCAGATTCAAGCAAATGGATGCGGATTCCATAGTTGCACGACCTGAAATAGTAATTATCATCATTCAAATGAAATCAAACACAACCAATTCTTGCATCTAACAATTAAGGATCGGTCACCCTGGTTTATCGAAAGAAACAAAAGAAAGGGTCTTAATTTTTTAGGCACATAAAATGCAGAAACTAAAATACATATTTAGAGTGAATGGACCAGAGGCTGAAGCATACCAAGCTCCTTCAAAGTTGAAAGAAGAAGGCGTTTGATGAGAACGAATCCCAGCACTTGCTCAAAAAACCTCACCGAGTAGCTCCCTGAGTTGCAGACAAAGAAACATGGTTCAGAGACAACAATGGCAGCACTGTTGTAGGTGAGGTTGACATTGAAGAAGGCAACCATTGCATCTCTTGTATTTCTTCTAAATGTCCCATACTTTCTCTCCCTTTCTTTCTCAACAATTCTCTCTTCTCTAGAATGTTGTAATGAAACTATGCAAACCGCAAAAGTTTGCTTTGCCAAATGGGATGTATGATAAGCTCTTTTATAAAGCATTAAAGCTTCATTGTGAGAAATATATGTTCCATATTCTGATTTTCTTAGAGAAAAAGGCAAAGCCAAGTGCATCATTAAAAAAAATTAACTCAACACATTTTCCAGAAACATGTCGACGTTTATGCTTCTTTCTCTCACAGTTCGAACTCATCGATAGCTGAAGAAAGTACATGCAGTCAAGCTTGCTCTAGCAGAATTCTCAACTTCCTTGTCTCAAACTTGTGACCCTAATATCATATTTATCTTTATTCATATCTTGGTGTATCCTTTTCATACTAAATATCCATTACCCTTGTTTTAAAATTCTCGTCATCTGAACCATGGCTAAACTCCGAACTAGATGACACGTTTGAATCCTTATTTTCCTCCAAACTCTTTCTGCCTTTTTTCATAACTTCTCCTTCATCGGCACACCGCATCACCTTCCTTTTCCTCCTGAATAATCGAACACCATCTCCCTTTTGAAACTTATCTGACTTATTCATAAGATGAATATACCTAAACCGCATACCCATCAAGGGATGCTTCTCCATCAAGAAATCTTTCCTATAAGCTTCCTTAAGCACCACGGTCTGTGTCCTGATCTTATTTGACATATAAAATATCCCCGGAAAATGCTTCACCGCCTTCTCGAATCGATTCTCGAACCCCATATACTCTCCCAAAGAATACACATTCTTCCCTTCAGTCTTCTTCGACACCAAGAGCCACAACAACTCGTGAAGCACAACCACGGTCCATTTCTCCGCCTGCTCACTCTTAGGGCCTAAATGAAACGCGTTTTCATAAGGTGAAATGTAAGGCAAATCCTGCCATGTTTCAACCCAATCCTTCACCTTTTCAATTTCGCTTGGCCAGAAAACGACGCTCTCTTTTCCATTTCGGAAATAGGAAGCTCATCCCTACAAGAAACAAGCTCTAAAAAAAGGGTTTATTTTCCATCACAAGGGTCTTTATATTCACAAACATGGAAATATTCAGGATAATCAGAAAGAAGAAAAGTAATGTAATTCCAGGGAAGGCCGAGATCAAATTTGAACTTGTCTACGATACGCAAAGGCAGCCTACCTGTTTTGGTCAGCATTAACAACTTAGCCAACCGGTTTACGGTGTCATTTCGGTGGGAGGGAGAGCTGTGAATGGCTAGCTCCTCCTTATGCAGAGCCATAGCTTGAGGAGTAAGCTTAACGTGGAGAGGAAGAGAAAAAGAGGGCTGGAATTGGGAGAAAATGGAAGGGTACTTGTGAAAAAGCTTGGAAGTATAGGTGGGGAGATTGAAGTGGGATTTGAGAGGGGAGAGAGAGGAAAGGAGAAGGGATTTGGAGGGAGAAGAGACGATTTGATTTTTGAGGGAAAGGATTTCTTTGAGGTTTTTCTCTCTTTCGACGGCGGTGTCGAGGTAAGGGTCACGAACCCATTTGGTCCTGGCGTCTGCGAAGCTGCGGACCAGAAGCAGCCGGTGAGGGACTCTGGTGCGAACCGCCATGGTTATCATCTCGATGCAGTCTGCGTATGAATTTTCAAATTTTGATACAAGTATATCTAGGGATGGCAGTGGTCGGATTTTCCCCCCATCCATTCTGTATATATAATTTCACTATTTAGACACAAATCTCACCAGCCGTCTTAGCTCAGCCGGTAGAGCGCGTGGCTTTTAACCACGTGGTCGTGGGTTCGATTCCCACAGACGGCGTTTTTTTGAATATTTCCCGCCAAATAAAACAAGCCTGGCATTTACCTTTAATTATTATCCACACAATATTCTTGGATTTCCTTTTTCACTTTTTTCTGAGGAAAAAAAATAATAGCTTCCTCTTAGCTTTCCATTTCTTTCCAAACATCAATGGATAGCAAGCCCGCCATCTCTTCCTAGGATATTCTCTTCCGAGCACTCGCTTCAATCCCCGTCTCACATTTCTTCCTCGCCGCCTTCTTTCTATTCCTCGTTTTTCTGTACAACTTTTTGGAGATTCATTTTCTTCACGAGTTACTCGCTCTCTTCAGAGGCGATCCGGTTACGTTAACTTACAACTCCTGCTCTGCTCCGACCTCGGCCGATCAGTCGCCGCCAAGTGTAAGATACTCCAACAAAGTAACATTATTACTTTTAGAAAAACGGAAAGATTAATTTGAACAGTTTACTCAATACATATAAATTATTGAACTGAACTGCTAATTTTTGTTAGTTTTTTGCATTATTGAGCTGCTGATTTTCATATTAGCTATTTAAAAATAAGGTTTAGTGTTAATTGAACTGCTTTTTCAGTTTTCATAGAGTTTGAGGATTAAATTCGGACAAATTAGAGGATTGACTTCTCAATTCTCTGCTAATCTATCGAAACTCGAATTTAATCTTCCAGTTGTTTGTGATTTTGTTCAACAATCGTGCAGGTACTTGGCCACTCCATGGCTTTCTAGTCCTCATCTTCAGACAGCCTTTTTGAGTTTTCACGAAGGCCTCCTCCTGTTACTTATAGACGGTTAGTTCAGTTCTTTCTATTTCTTTTTCTTTTTTAATCTGTATTTTCAACTTCTTCTCTTTGGATAGATATCAATGTGCTAACTGCTAAGTGTTTATTATTCTTAGACGTTTATTCCGTGCTTTTGATAGTGGAACAATTGCTCTGGACTGGCTAACTTATTTGGATGGTCAGATTTTACTCATCATCCCATGATTTTGTTTATTTTTGTTTTTAGTTAGCTTGGTTTTTAGAACATTTATGTATGATATTCGAATTTAAAGAATGGGTGAGAATTCACTCTTTAAAAATGATAGATGTGGCTTCAGTTTAATATTATGAATCTTTAACTAATAACATTTGTGGAGGGTCCCTCTGGCATAATTGATGGTTCTGCTGTTCGTAAAGGTGATAAAACTCCGATTGTCATTGTCATTCCTGGCTTGACCAGCGATTCTACTGCTGCAGTAAGTTTATATATATGTATATATTCGCTCATATATTTTTGCTGAAGAACCTAAAGAAGTGTCGTTGTGTGTGCAGTATGTGAAGCATCGTGCATTCAACATGGCAAGACAGGGTTGGAGTGTTGTTGTATGCAATCATCGTGGTCTAGGAGGTGTATCTCTAACTGTGAGTTTCTCATGCAACGCTCTTTTGGCCTAGATTCTTAATCATCTTAGTCTTTTGAGAAATTGCCATTTTCAAATTCACGAAGTCTACCTGAATGATTTTATTTTCAGTCTGATTGCTGTTATAATGCTGGATGGACTGAAGATGTGTTGGATATATGAACTGCAAAAGTACACCGTTAGTACTGACTGAAAATATAAACAGTAATTAAGAAGAACAGATTCGTAAACCGTGTCGTGGTAAGAACCACTGCCTTAGAAACGAATTCGCCTCGATGTGTGTAATCGCTGCAGTAGGCGGACCGTCCCCCGAGGTTAACACGGTCGCTCCGAATTCCGTACACCCGAAACCGGAGTGGACTGCTGGTGGTATTGCACTTCTGATCGGAAAGCACTCAGAGAGAACTCACAGAGAGAACTTTAGAAAACACTTTGGTAAGTGAATTGTGAATGTTTTGGAGTGAGTTGAGAAGCTGAATATAGCTCTCTATTTATAGGCTAGAAATAGGGTTAAAATCGTCCATAAAATTTCAGGATTAAACCTCTTATTTGTAACAGCTGAAACGACTAGATGAACCTGACTCAGAAATAGTCCAGGTTCATTGTATCATTATTCAGCTGTTATAACTCCCGAAATTATATCATGTAACCCCTGGAATTAAATCAAATAACTCCTGTAACTCCTGATATTAACAGCTTGTCTCCTCTGTACAAAGCTGTAAATCAGTCTAGGTACATCTTAACGTTTCTGATTTAATTTAGGAATAAACTGTTTAATTTCTGATAAAAAATAATTCAGCTGTTATTATTTGAAATTCAAACAGTCCTCAGCAGCCTATAAATATCAGTTGATATCTTTCACATTTTCCATTTGTTTCTTTCAAAGAGAAATTCCTCAAGAATTTTCTCTAAAAAGATAGTATCCGCGCGGACGTGTCGAAGACACGTATTACCATTACCATTACCATTACCACGACCACGACCACGACCACGACCACGACCACGACCACGAGCCGTGCCGTGCCGTGCCGAGCCGAGACGGACGGACGGCGGCGGCGGTGCGCGAGAGCCCCCCTTGTTCTCTATCACTCAACAAGGAAGTAGAATGTCAAGCCTTAAATACCATTCCCAATAGTGTTTCCAACACTATGGGATTGAGCATTGCCAACATTCCCCCACTAATGCGAAAGAAATCTTCTGAAACTCGAAAACAAGCTTTCCAGAAGAGTAATAGCGAGATTAGTTGCTTAAGCACTAGTGAACATATCTGGAACTAGTACATAGTGATGATGAGCAATCCTTCTCTTAGATAAGTGAAACTAGTCTGGAACTTTCTAAGATCAGGGTAAACTCATAACACACAACTAACCCCTTCATCCACCTGAGTCCTCGATGTGTAAGATATATATATACAAAAGTATATATTTGGCCATCTTACCTCAGGATTCTAGTAAGTGTGCTAGAAAAATAGCCCAACATTTTTCATAGAAGGCGGCTAACCCTTCTCACTTACATAGGTTATTTCATCAAGTTTATCTCAACATAAACCACCCTTTAAAAGGAATATGAAATAATTAAGAGCTTTTATAATAGCTCAACCTCACAAAGGGTATGGTGACTTTTTTCAAGTTCATTATAAATGAACCACCCAAACTCTGGGCTAAGAAGTCATTAAGAATAAATATTCAACCTCATTTATCGGTAAATTCAATAAGTCCTTCTCACTAGAACCATCCAAATACTTGGATTTGAATTTATTAAGAGTTTAACAAACTCAACCTTTCTGTTGGTAAGTTCATCATTTCCTACCCACTCACTCTGGGTTATGAACTTATTAAGAATAGATATTCAGCCAAAATCGGTAAATTCATCAAGTCTTTCTCACTAAGACCACCCGAAACATGGGCTATGAATTTATTAAGAGCAATTAAGCTCATCCTGGGCATGCACATTATTCATCATAGGGATAGGCAGTAGGAATGTGCACTATGAGTCTTTCCATGGTTTCGTTTGACCACATGGAACTTAGATAACCAAGTTGGGTATCCACCATGAATTCCTCAACCAATGGGCTTTAGACCCATCCCCCGACGAATCTAGGACCAGCTTCCGACTTAACCCTTTGGTAAGTGGATCTGCTAGGTTCCTTTCCGACTTCACATACTCTAAAGAGAGCACTCCATTCTTTATCAAGTGTCTAACTGATTCATGTCTTATGCGAATGTGTCTTTTCTTACCATTGTAAGCTTGGTTCTTAGCCACACATATCGCAGCTTGTGAATCACACAACAATGAAACTGGAGGAGTCGGTCTTCCCCACAACGGAATATCTGCTAACAAACTTCTGAGCCACTCGGCTTCTTGCCCAGCTAGGTCAAGAGCTATAAACTCTGACTCCATGGTAGAACGAGCAATACAAGTCTGCTTTGATGATTTCCACGAGATCGCTGCTCCACCCAAAGTAAAAATATACCCGCTCGTAGAGCTTACCTCATCATTATCAGAAACCCAGTTGGCATCACAATATCCTTCCAATACCGCAGGAAAGCCAACAAACTCAAGTTTCCAATTCACAGTACCCTTAAGATACTTCAGTAAGCGTTTAAGCGCAATCCAGTGCTCACCACTCGGATTATGAGTATATCTACTTAGTCTACTCACAGCATAAGCAATATCAGGCCGAGTATAGTTCATTAAGAACATTAAACTTCCGATTAATTTAGCATATTCAGTTTGGGAAACACTACTTCCTTTATTCTTAACTAGATGTATGCTAGGGTCATAAGGAGTTCGAACAGGGACGACATCAAACTGTCAAATTTCTTTAGCACTTTCTCTATATAATGTGCTTGACATAAAGAAAATCCCTTCTCAGTTTTGGTAATTTTGACTCCTAAGATTACATCTACTTCTCCCAAATCTGTCATCTCAAACTTAGTGGACAAGAAATTTTTAACTTTGTTAATGGACTCAATGTTAGAACTGAAAATCAACATGTCGTCAACATAAAGACTTATGATAACACATTCAGTTTCAAACATCTTCGAATACACACAAGCATCCGAACCATTCACAACAAAACCAAAACTAAGAATAGTTTTATGAAATTTCTCATACCACTGTTTAGGAGCCTGCTTAAGTCCATAGAGTGACTTTTTGAGTCTACAAACTTTGCCTTCCATACCAGGTGCCTCAAAACCTAGTGGCTGCTCCATGTAAATCTCCTCATCTAGATCCCCATTCAAGAAAGCAGTCTTAACATCCATTTGATGTACCTGCAACTTATGAATAGAGGCTAGTGCAAATAATGCACGAATCGTTGAGATTTTTGTAACGGGAGAGTATGTATCAAAGTAGTCTAAACCAAACCTTTGAGTGAACCCTTTGACGACTAACCTTGCCTTGTATCGCTGAATCGAACCATCTGGCCTTAGTTTCTTCCGGAAGACCCATTTGTTGGAGATTGGTTTGAATCCCTTAGGCAAGTCAACTAATTCCCAAGTATGATTAGACATTATCGATTCTAGTTCATCATTAACAGCGCTTTTCCAAAAACTAGCATCGATAGATCTTATAGCTTCTTCAAAAGTTTTAGGATCCTCATCTAATAGAAAATTTGAGCTATAGGATCTGAAATGAAGTCTAAATCATTTATCTCAGAAATAAAGGAAGTAATAAAGTCTGGTCCAAAAGAGGTTTCAACTCTTTGCCTTTTACTTCTTCTAGGCTCAAAATCATTTGTTCAGAAGACCTAGCAGGTTTACTAGAAGAAGTTGATGGAATATATTCTATTTGTGTTTCAATATTTATTCTCGGTTCCTTTAAAGGAAAAGTATTTTCAAAGAAAACAGCATCTCTTGATTCACAAATAGAATAATCTTGTAAAAGCATGAATCTGTATGCAGCACTATTCGTAGCATACCCTATAAACACTGCATCAACGGTTTTAGGTCCGATGGTGGACTTCTTAAAGTCTGGCAAGCCCACTTTAGCCAGACACCCCCACACTTTCAGGTATTGTAAATTAGGAGCGTATCCTTTCCACAATTCATATGGGGTAGAATCTAATTTCTTATGAGGAACTCGGTTCAAGATATGAGTTGCCGATAGAATGGCCTCCCCCCACATGTTATCAGATAACCCGGAACTTATTAGTAAAGAATTCATCATCTCTTTTAAAGTTCTATTTTCCTTTCGGCTATACCATTCTGTTGAGGAAAATAGGGGGCTGATGTTTCATGAATTATGCCATTCTTTTCACAAATATCTTTTAAGAAATTAGATCCATATTCACCACCTCTATCAGATCTAACTCGTTTGATTCTCCTATCTAACTGATTTTCAACTTCTGCCTTATAAATAAGAAAGAAGTTTTCAGCTTCATCTTTAGTTCTTAGGAGATAAACTTTTGTATATCTTGAATAATCATCTACAAAAGTTATGTAGTAGTGTTTTCCTCCTTTACTTTCAGTGTTTCTAAAATCTGCTAGATCAGTATGAATGAGTTCTAACAGTTCAGTCTTTCTATTAGAAACAGTCTTAAAGTGAGGTTTAGTATGCTTAGCTTCTACACAAATCTCACATTTGTTAAAGCTAGTTGTGTCTAGTTTAGGCAGAACATTCATATTCATTAATTTCTTTAAAGCATGAATATTCACGTGTCCTAATCTAGCATGCCACATATCAATGGATTCAACAATATAAGCAGAAGTGGTAGCTTTATTTTCATTAAATTGAGTTTCTATGACAAATAAACCATTGCTTAAAAACCCTTTCCCCACATAATCACCATTTCGGGAAAGTACAAGTTTATCTGCCTCAAAAACTAACTTAATGCCCCTTATTCAGAAGCCCACCACTTATCAAATTTCTACGCAAGGCAGGTACATACAGAACATTATTTAAAGCCAGAGTTTTACCAGAAGTCAGTTTGAGTAAAACCTTGCCTTTGCCTAGCACTTCAGAGCTGCTAGAGTTCCCCATGTACACACATTCACCCAGTGTTTCCATCCTCGAACTCAGTGAAAAACTCCTTCCTTGCGCAGAAATGCTTCGAAGCGCCAGTGTCAACTACCCATTCTGAACTGTTCTCCACCAGATTAACTTATGAGACCACCGCAGCAATGATCTCATCATCTTCTTCTA